ACTCAGTAAATGCACGCTGAATTACAAGTAAGTAAAACTAATAAGCAATTACAACTGTAGAACACTTTACAATTCACACATCACATATTTATCTCTTGATCTGCACAATACTGCACTGATAAGGTAGACAAGGGATATATTACAGGGTTTCAGGGAGGTCTTGCCAAGGTCACAAACTACAACTTACCACTTCCCTTCAGTACTGAGCACAGGCTGAGGAATTTGACGGACTTTGTTACTTATACTATGCTCCAATATTGAAGGACTGTCCAAGTTTCCTGAGCTTTTGACTTTCCTATGAATTTGCCTAGATACTCTGGGCAAGGGGCTTGCACCTCTTGTTCTACTCTACCCTCCTCCACATTCCCATAAGTCAGGTAACTTCCTGTGAAAAAGTCAGTCTTGTCCAAAGAAGAGAACAACAGGATTCCTTTGTTTCTGTCTACTCCCTCAATCAGAATGATCAAGAGCTGAGTACAGTGCCTTGCATACAGTAGGCAACCAATAAATTATTGCTTAAATGGATAAAAGAATGAGAGATCTATAAATGGAAAAAGGAAAATATGGCTTAGTCTGCTAAGGAGAGAAGAGAGCCCTGAGATGATATTAAAGGACTGTTGCTCTCCAGCCAAAGAGACCATGAATTTGGAGAGCAGAATACATCCAAACTGATATACCAGGGCAAATAGGATGAGCTGCCAGAAAACTGTGTAGGCGAAGGTAGTCTGGAATTAAAAAAAAAAAAGTGCAGGGAGAGGTAGATCTTGCAAGCTACAGAAGAGTGAGTTTATCAATGATTCCTGACAAAAATTCTAGAATGTATTTTATTTACAGTTCTTAAACACTTAGGCACCAGTATTGGTTCCCTAAGGAGGAGACCAGACCTTGCCAGAATTATCTAACATCTGCTTGGGAAAGGGGTCCTGGGCAAGAAAATATGATAAGTGCTAAACATATTTTTATTTTAGCAGGAAATCTGAGAAAATTTTGTGGACAAGACAGAGAAATGAAGGCTAGAAAACAATAAAAATTGGAAGATTTAGAGTTGTGAATGTCAAATAATGCTTCAAAATTGTTCTGACCATGTGCTCTAGGGTTCCATACTTTAATATAGTTCTTATAAACATTTTAATCAAAGACTAGTATGTAAAGTACATGATGGCAGGGATCTTGTCTAACTCAAGTGTCTAGAACAGTGACTGCTAGATAGACATGTAATCAGTAAACATTTTAAACTCTTTTTGAATGAACAAATGAATCCATAGAAAGCCTATTCACTAAGCCCTGGCTTGGTGCCTCAGTTGGTTGGAGCATTGTCCCATACACCAAAAATGTTGTGAGTTCGATTCCCAGTCAGGGCACATACCTAGGTTGTGGGTTTGATTCCCAGTCAGGGTGCATATGGTTGGGGCATGTACGGGAGACAACCAATCGATGTTTCACTCTTACATTGATGTTTATCTCTTTCTCTCCCTCTCTCAATAAAATCAATAAAAACATACCTTCAGGTTGAGAATTAAAAAAGTAAAAAAAGAAAGCCTATTTATCCCTGGCCGGTGTAGCTCAGCAGTTAGAGCATGGACTGTGCACCAAGTATCTCAGATTTATTTCCGGTCAAGGGCACGTACCTGGGTTGCAGGTTTGCTTCCTGCCCCCTGTCTAGGCGCATGCAGGAGGCATCCAGTCAATGTGTCTCTCTCACATCAATGTTTCTCTCTCTCCCTCCCTCCCTCCCTCCCTCC